GAAGCCGACATCCCATGTGATAGTACCTCGGCTCCAATCTCGGCGCTGGCTCCCGATTCCAGCTTTCCGCTAATGCACGCGCTGGGAGGCAGCAGGTGATGGCTCAGGGGACTGAGTTCCTGCTGTCCACGTGAGACACTTGGACTGAGCTCCCAGCTCCCAGCTCCCAGCTCCAGCCCAGCTCAGTGCAATTAAATACTTACAGTGCATGCATGGGAATACAAGCATACTTCAAATAGTAGAGAAAAACGGAGGTAGAAGGTGAGTCTATTTTGGTGCATTTTTTTAAATTCATGCATGAGTTTTTCATCATATGCATTATATGCATTTTTCATTAATATTTGAAGATCACCCTCATATGTGTGGATTTCTAATTTTTTGAGCCAAAATAAGTTTACCTTTTAGTTCCATTTTTCCATGAACTTTTTAAAGTACCTACATAGTATAGCATAGAGCCACTGAAAATGATCTTTAGAAGGAAGATTTGAGAAGAAATATCCAAAATGCAATGTTAACTGAAGGAAACAAAATATAAAAACACATAAAATAAGATCTCTAGTATAAACAGTAAACACCACAGCTGGAAGGGATGCTGCTAGCTATTAAACAAAAACGATTTTTGTGTAGGTGGGTTAGGGGCAATTATTGTTTTTTTAATGCTACTTGTAATTTCCAATTTTTCTACAATGAACATTAATCAAATCAGAAAAGCCAATAGTTTTAAAAACTCATTGCTGAGTTTTGAGAGGTCAAAATGGAAGCCTTACAAAATTAATTTTATTGAAAGGCAGAGAGACAGACACAGACAGCTAGGTCTTCCATCTGCTGGTTCATTCCCTGAAAGTCCTACAGACCAGGCCAATAGCCAGGCCAAAGCCAGAAACCTGTAACTCAAACTAGCTCTCCCACATGGGTTTTAGGCACCCAAGTACTAGGGGCTGCCACCGTCTGCCTCTTGGGGTGTGGACTGGAAGCAGATGCAGGACCTGAACCAGGCCCTCTGATATGGGATGTGAGCATTCCAAATGGTGTTTTAACTGCTCGCCAAACACCCTGAGTTATTATTAATGTAGATAATTTCTGCATTTCCTGTGATATATAAAAAATTCTCTCAGATTAAAAAAAATATTTATTTATTTAAAAGGCAGAGTTACAGAGAGGTAGAGGCAGAGAGAGAGAGAGGTCTTTCAGGCACTGGTTCACTCCCCAGATGACCACAACAGCCAGAGCTGCAACGATCCGAAGCCAGGAGCTTCTTCTGGGTCTCCTAAGTGAGTACAGGAGCCCAAGTCTTTGGGCTCCTGTACTGTTTTCCCAGGCTATAGCAGAGAGCTGGACCGGAACAGGAGCAGACAGGACTCTAACTAGTGCCCATATGAGATGCTGGCACTGTAGGTGCCGGCCCCCTCCCTCAGATTCTTTTAATCAAACACAAAAGTAATAATAGCTATCACATTTACCTTCCTTTTTTTTTTTTGACAGGCAGAGTGGACAGTGAGAGAGAGAGACAGAGAGAAAGGTCTTCCTTTGCCATTGGTTCACCCTCCAATGGCCGCCGCGGCCGGCGCACCGCGCTGATCCAATGGCAGGAGCCAGGTACTTATCCTGGTCTCCCATGCGGGTGCAGAGCCCAAGCACTTGGGCCATCCTCCACTGCACTCCCTGGCCACAGCAGAGAGCTGGCCAGGAAGAGGGGCAACTGGGACAGAATCTGGCGCCCCGACCGGGACTAGAACCCGGTGTGCCGGCGCTGCAAGGCGGAGGATTAGCCTAGTGACCCGGGCGCCGGCCTCACATTTACCTTTTAACCTTGACTCATGGGAAGTCTGGAGCTGTAATACTCAAGATGATGCAGTAACCATGTTACCCAGGTTCTTCATATAGTAACTGCCATGCTCCTGCAGTTTCTGACACTTCCTGAATCTATATTTTCAGCTGTGTTGGTTTTATACTTGCATATGCAAATCCTCCTTGGAACATATGCAGTTTTCAAAAAGTACACGGAAAATGCATTCTATGAAAAAAAATTATGCGTGGATTTCAAAATTTTTTGCAGCAAAATAAATCCCATTTGCCACGAGCATTTGGAAGCACCCCAATATAAACAGGTGTGTGCCGAACTGATTTGATGCTACACCTGAGAAGCAGAGGTTTCGATGGACAGGTGTTTAGCTGGGATGTTTCATTTTTACAAACACATGGCACTGAACTGGTTTTGAAAGGTCTATTGCTATCCTAATTCCGGTAGAGAAAAGTCCTGGGCATGTATGAAGTCCCATGTATGAAGCTCCTTTAATGAGACAGACTGTCCCCAGGGACTGGATTAACCCCTTCCTTGCAAAATTTCCATCTCCTTGTAGATTGTGCGGACAACTGGCCTCTGAGGCCACCGACTGACAGCGAATGTCAACAAAGCCAGCCAAAACCCATTCGCCACATCCTTCTGGTTTTCAAGTCTACGGACAGTGACACAGCCGGCAAGTAATTAGGCACCCACACATCCACAACAATGGGCTCTCTGAATAAAGCAGCCCCCGAAGACCCTCTTTAGCTCGCTCTGCAACATTTTGCTGGAAACGACCCAGGCCGATCCTTCTTTCACTGTAGCTCAGAGGAAACATTACGTCTAGTCTAACCTCCAGGCCGCTTATTTTTAAAAATCAAGTAATGATATATACATATCACCTGGGCATTCTCCCAATTGGGATCCCTCACTGCAGACGCCAACACCATTGACAATTAGCCAGAATGCGTTTTTCCACGAGAATCTGAAGGCGAGGAGAGAGCAGCCGTCTTCACCTTTGCCTCGCGACCACCTTATCACCCCGGAAGCCACAACGTCCGAGTTGCGAATCCAAGACAAATGAAAACGGAAGGAGGGAGGTGGGAAACCTTTACCCAGTGCCCTCGGCACGCCAGGCAGGGCGCTGGCTGCTGAGCCTGGCAGCTAAAGGGCCCTCGCCCTTCCCCTCCATGATCAGTTAGCCCTCACTAGCCTCCCAGCAGCACTCTGCAGAGTCTACATTGTATCCCACTTCTTCAGAGGCAGACGCCTGGGCCTAGAGAGATGAGCTACCTGGCTCAAGGTCAGCCGGTGGGGAAGGCACCCTGCACCCCAAAGCCCTCTCTCTGGGCCCTTCCAGGAGGCTGGAGCTGCTTCTCTCTTTGCACCAGGCTGACACACCATCCTGTCTTCCTCCCCAAGGTTCCCTAAATATTCCAGGGAAGCGAAGCACCTGCTGGCTGCCTCGTCCTCCGGCCTTTGGGCTCTCTCACTCAGAAAGTCATCAAGACACACTTGAAAAATAAAACGTGTAAAAGCTTCAACCCACACCCGGAAACACCAAGCAAACTGCCCCAGACAGCCTACTGGGAAATCTCCCTCTAAGGGGAAGAAATTGAAAACATTCTGCAGCTGACAACACTTCGTGATGATGTAAGCAGGGTTGCCCTGTCTACAAAGCCCTGGCTCTCTGGTGCCCCTTCCAGAAGAATGTATATGGAAGCAACAGTGCCGAGGAGTGCCAGCGCGCGTTTGCGCGGCTGTCAGTTACGTGTGCCGGACAGGTACCCCCGGAGAACTTGCAATGCTCGGGCAAAGGCGAGGGAGCTGCGAACGTCATTCGGAAATGACTTCACGCCCGGTTGGCCCTGCACGGCCACCTAGATTGCACCCTCCCGGGGCAGGAGACGCCGCTCCGCCTGCGGCAGCTTGTGCGCCCCGCCGCCAACTGCCATCGACTCCTTCACCTTTTATTTACCGCGCAGAGCCGGCTGGCTCATCGCGGAGCGGGGGAGGCGGGGAATAAGACAAAATCTACATCCTGCTCTTTCTCCGGGGACAGAAAGAGGGTCAGACAGAGGCAGAAACGAGGCCTGGAGTGCACCCGCAGCGCGGGAGCGCGACCCTCCTCCTCCCCAAAGGGGGTCCGCACCTGCACTCCAGCAGAAGCGCCCAGCCCCACCCCCCCCCAGGGGAGCTGGGGTCCAGCCCCCTGCCTCGGCCGGGCTTGGCGCGAGGCTAGAGGTGCCAACCCAGCGTTCTGCACAGGAAATCACTGCCCCCTTCAGGCCGCGGCTCAGACGCTGCGACCGGAGCGTAGGGACTCCCTCAGTCCCGAAAAACTCGCACGCCCGACCTTGTGCGGCCAGCGATCGCCCCTCCAGGCCCCGGGCTAGCGGCGAACGTCCCACTGAAGCTGCGGGCGGACGCCAAGCCGAAGGCGTGGGGAGAGATCTCGGGATGGGCTCAGAGAAGGAAGCCCGGAGGGCAAGCCCCGCTGCCGCGCTCCCAGTCCGTGCTGGGGCCACTAGGACGCTTCAAGTCTGCGCCGGGAGAAGCTGCGCCTGCAGCCGCGGGGTCAGCAGCCCGACAGCACCGCGCGTTCGGGGCGAGATCTGCCGGGGCACTCTCTGAGCAGCGAGCCCGACAGGGTCTCCTCCTAAACCCCCCCGGCTACCGCACCAGGCAGCTTGGCTGCAGAGCCTGTAGCCCCACACCTACCCGCGCCGTGCGGGCTCTGGAGCTACTGGCGCGCGCCGCACGCCCAGCCCTGCTGCGCGCTTCTGCCCCTGGGGTCCCGGGGCCCTCCGGACCTCAAAGCGCATCTTCGCTCTCCCGGGGGACACAGGGGGCAGGCCCGCCGCCCCTCCAGTCCCAGGTGGCCCAATTTGCCATCAATGCGCCTATTCCTCACACCTGGCAACCATGAGCGGCACCTGGCCAGGGGCAACCACTGCAGGCCTTTGGGGATTCTCCTTCCTTGGTCAAAGGAGACCCCTAGTCCTCGCTGTCACCCCCTCCCCACCCCCACAAAATCCCGGCGGAGAGGGTGTTCGGCGAATCTGGATTCCAGCTATCAGCCAAGCCTGGGGAGACCCCGGGGAGCGAGCGCCTCAGCAGGCGCAGGCGGGTCAGCCGCGGCCGGAGCTCGCCTCCGTTCCAACACTGCCCCCAGCGCCCCCCGGAGCCCCGACGGCACGGGCGGCCGGACGCTCACCTCGGTGTCGTAGAGCCGCAGGTCGAGGAAGTAGGGGCGCAAGAGTGACTCGTTGCGAATCTGCTCGATGGCCAGTTCCACGGCGGGCAGCACGCCGCGCCCGATGCTGCCCTTGGCCACCTCCTTGGTGAGCGGCATGAGGCCCATGATGGAGAGCGGCGGGCTGCTGGGCGGCGGCCGAGGGGCGCCCCGCGCCCAGCCCCAGGCCCCGGGTGCCAGCGCCAGAAGCAGCGGCAGCAGCAGGAGCAGCAGCAGGCGCGCGGGCGGCGGCGGCGGCGGCGGCGGCCCGGGCTGCCCGGAGCTCCGCGGGGAAGCCATGCCGCGCCGCGGGCTGCGGGCGCCGGCTCACTCGGCCCGCATGGCCTGGCCCGGCCCGCCGCCCCGCGCCAAGCTCTCCCCGCGGCGCCCGCGCAATGGCGCCGGCCCGGTCGCGGCTCCGGCTCCGGCTCTGGCTCCTGCTCGGCTCCGAACGGCCGCGGCGGCGGCGGCAGCAGCGGCGGCAGCGGCAGCGCCCGTGACGGATCAATCACGCCGGGAAGGGGTGGGAGCGAGAGGGGTGCGGGAGGCGGGGAACGAGCGAGCAAACGCGGAGAGGGGGCCGGCGTCTCCGCGCGCCTCTCTCAGCGCGGCCGCCCCGCACCGGGCCGCCTCCGCCCGCCCCCGTGCGCGCTCTGAGGCGATCTCCCTGCCGGAGCTGCTCGGCGGCAGCCCCTGGAGCCCGGCCGGGGGAGGGCAGGCGGCAGGAAACGCGGGAGGCGAAGGCGAGGCTGCTCGGCGGCGGCTCGGGCCGCCTCCAGGGACGGGGACGGGCTGTGCGCGCCAGGGGAGGGGGAGGCGCCGGCGCTGCGGCGGCGGCGGAGAGGGCCGCCCTCCCAGCACATTCACTCCCGCGCCCCCGGCTCTCCGCCGGGTGGGTGCTGCTGTCCCCCGGCCGCGGGGGGCCCGAGCACCGAGGGTCGGTGATCGGGGTGCCAAGATCTCGCGCCGGCACGCGCAGTGGCCGCGGCCGCTTCGCCAAGCGCTTTCCGGAGCACCTGAACGGCATCTGGAGACCGCCTCTCCGAGGTCTGGGCGCTCAGGTCCGGGCCGGCGAACGTTCCACGAAGGCGATTCCAGGAGCACCCGCAGCTTGCGCTCTGCCGCCCCCAGGGGCCCTGACCAAGTCCCGAGGGTCCCCGAAGGTGCCCTTGGGTACTAGGCTGCCTGACCTTAGAGCCCCGGGCCGAGGACACCTCTCCACCCCGCACCACCGCCCTTTGCCGAGTCCGGGCGTAGCTGGGGCCCCAACCTCGTGGGCGCTACCTTCTGCTCAAGGCATTTGACCTCCCTGCGTCCCTAACTGGTTGCTCCCAGGGCGAGGGGAGAGCGGGTAGCACTGTCCTCAGGTCAGCACAAGGCCCCTGCCCCTCAACGTGGCTGTCACTTTTTCCGGTTGCACGGGCCACACTGTCTAACCTCGGGCCTGCAGTCCTGGACCACAAGTGCTCCAGAGAGCTGACCATGCAACCTTGGGCCCTAGGATCTCTCCAGGAAGAATGGGAACCTCCATCACTAAGCTATGAAATCCCAGCAGCTGAACACTGCGGGGGGCATGGGGGGGGGAGGGACATCATCACATTGATGACCTTGTCATATTGAGATTTAACCTTCAGGGAGTGCTTATGCCACCCCTTACAATGTAAGCCTCCCAACAGCTCTACGAACTAAGTGCCCTGTGTCTATCAGCCAGACCTCACAGGTGCATGCATCCAGGGGAAGGGAGGCCACGGAACTATCAAGGGAAGACCGGAACTCAGGGCAGGAGGGGCACTGTGCTATCCCTGTTGCTGGGGACCTTGGTTCCCGTGGACGTATTGTGAGGCAAGTGGGCCCAGCGAATGCAGAGGGCAGGGGTGAGGCAGGGGCAGTCCCAAGCCGGTGCAGGGTTATCAGGAAGCTGCCATCCAGATGAGAGGCGGAGCCCAGCTACTGGAGAGTAACTTAGACGATGCCAAGGAACGCAGGCCCAAATCTCCAGCCCCAACTCCTCCTTCCAGGCTTCTGCAGCTGCCGCTTCCTAGGCTGCTCTTAGCACATCCTCCCCAAGCTCAAGGTTCCCAGGAACAGAGCTCATCTCAGCATCTGCACCCCTAAAAGTCCACAGGACAGTGGAACCCAGCCACGTGACCCTTGACATCACAGGTGTCCTCTGATCTCAGGCTTCTAGTACCTGCCATTCCTCAGCGCCTCTGCGCAGGTTTCTGAATGAGCAGTTGCACTTAGGCACACCAGTATGCAATATCCCCTGACACCTACATCTGGGAGGGAGTGAGAGCCTGGAGAACTTGCCCGATGTTTGCTAAAGGGGTTGGAGACCCTGCCTGGCAACCTGCCCTTCAGTCTCCTCTTGTTGGGTGCCCTGGCTTCCAAGACACACAGCCTGGGACAGGCCCCGACGGGAGGGGTACCAGCCTCCCTCCCTTGGCCTGGCTCCAGGCCAAGCTCTGACCTCATGCCCCACTTCTGAAGCCCGGGCATCCCTCTGGTTCTGAGCTCCTACTCTGGCCCTGTGTTCCAGCTGGAGTGACCGGGTCCCTGGCGTGCTTCCTGGGCCTGGAGTCCACGTGCCTTTGGCCTCTTGTTTAGAACATTCATTCATTCCTCACCCACGGTTCTGGAGGGACTGCTGTGTGCGGACGGTGTTCTGGCAGCAGAGGATCCAGGAATGAACAAACCACACCAAACTCTCTGCCCTTGTGGAGTTGCCCTTGTGGAGGGGAAAGAGAGACAATATATAGTAACGCTAAGGTGTTTTCCTATGTCGATCTACAAAAAGTGCTACAGAGGGCAATGGAGCAGGAAGGGGGAGGGGTGGAACCAGCAGGGCGGGGCTGCAATGTGAAACCTTGAGGTCGGGGAAGGACGCCCTCAGGTGACCCCTCTGCAGAGAGAGAGGGGAGGTAAGTGAGCAGGACAGGCAAATAGCGTTCCATGCTAGAGGCTGGGAGACAGGAGCGTGCCTGCCACGTTCAGGGGACAGTGTGGCTGCAGCAGACGGGGGAAAAAGGAAAAGCAGCCCGAGCCAAGGTCAAAGGCAGGTGGATCAGGCAGTCTAGGCAACGTGGCCCTCTGGCCTGTGTGTGATAACAGGAGGAGCCACGGGAAGGCAGTGGGCGGAGCAGGGACACAAGCTGATACACTTGAAGAGGCTCCCTCTGGCTGCTGAGTGGAGAGTGGTTGGTAGGGGAAAAGCTGGGAGCCTGGTATCAGCGCGGAAGCAATTACAGAGAGGCATTGGCTGAATCCCAGGACCGTGGGAAACACTCAGTCCCTCCTAAGAGATGGGGACTCGCAAAGCAACGTGCTCCATCAGCCTGCACCTCCAGAAAAGGAGGCGGCACCAGGGTCAGCTCGGGTCCCCCTTCCCCAGCAATGCTGTCTCCCTAGCCACAGCCTCAGGCTCCATGCCCTAGCCCAGAGGTTGCTGCTGGGTTGAGAGATGGTGCCTGCTCCCCATCTCCGGGCTTGACGGCCATGTGGCCTGCCTGGCTGCCGGTCAGCAGGACACCCCAGCCCTCGGAACAGGATCCCGATGCTGGAGGGCTGGCCAGGCCTCACCCGCCATGTGCTCCCCTCCTATTGGGCTGGCTGCCCCCTCCCACCTCAGTGGAGGCTGCTCAGAGCTGCTCCCCAACCCCAGTCTCCCGCAGCTGTCTGTCCCCAGAAATTGATCCAGTTTCCCACCCCCACCCCCAGTTTGACCTGGCGTCCATACCTGCTCCGTGCTGCTCCCACGGAGCTCTTCTTTTACTTTCTCCCTTAAAAAACCCGGGCAGCTCCCCCCTCCCCCCGTGTTTCTTATTGGTGTTTACCGGAAATGCTTCTTTCAATCCAGTAGCTCGGCTGTTTCTTTTCTTTTAAGTGCACTATTTGTTTCACATTTCTTTTTTTAATGGATACATTTTATGAATGATGACTCTTAAGGAAAAAAAAAATGAACTGAATGAATCCACGATCCTTTTCCCTTTTTCACAAGCATGTTTTTTAAACCAAAAAATTGGGTTTCAGACATCAAATGTGGCCTGGTGACACAGTTCGGGTAATAATAATAGCTACCATTTATTAAACACCTACCTACTCTGTGCCAGACACCCCTGTATGCATCATCTGCAATCTTCACAGCTGCCTGAGAAAAATAGGTTCTAGAAGCTCAGTTTTATGCACGAAGAGACGGAGGTCCGGGCTGATCGACTCGGCGGAGGCAAGGATGGGGCCACACCCAGCCCATCTGACCTCGAACCCCTGCACTCGGCTCTGCTGCACTCGCCTCTCCATGAAAATGCCCTTGTGAGATGGAGGAGGACAGCCAGAAAGAGAGAAGGGTTCCTGCTGGAGCTCAGCACCGAGAGGCAGTGAGGAGAGTTGGCCAGAGTCTTGCTGAAAGGAAGAGGGATCTGGGCACCCTGGACTATCCCAGAAGCCGCCCTCGTGATAACAAAGCCAGCCCTGCAATGATGCCGCCAGTCCACTCCAGAATGCGGAACACCCGAACCTGACTTCCCCTCCTTCCTCAGGCCCCACCCGCAACGCTGTGGCACTAATTCAGCCCCCAGCACGTGCTTTTGGTGGGACGCACTCAAAGCCTGGCAGGTTCTGAATGAACATAGGTGGGAAAGTCAGCTCATAACCGGGCCTCTCATGGAGAGGTTTCAAAGGAGACCATGGGCGGACAAGAGGCGCACGCCTGGGACAGAGCCTGAGACAAGGAAGAGACCTCTGAAGTCTCTGGTCCAAGAATGAACTCAACCTATGAGTCCCTCGTCACCCTTGGGAGCAATGGGGAGCTTCGGACTCAGTGCTGGATTGAAATTCTAGCTTACCTGGGGTGCAACTTGGGATATAGCGCTTAACTCCTGAGCTTCAGTGTCCGCACTGGAAAATGAGGATGAGAATGCTCTCTAGTTGCTAGAGTCCTGGAGAGGGTTGCGTCACAGGTAGTTGAGGTTGGCGGCTCACACGTGCCAATCATTGTCTCAAGCCCTTTGCACGTAGTCAGCTCCCTGATGAAGTAAGATGATGCTAAGAAAGCCTTCTGCACGATGCAGGTGCTTCTTGGGCATGCGATAAATAATAATGCAACAAAAATGGTGAAATTTGTGCTTGCTTCCGTTCCCAGCCCTTGACTCGATGGATGAGATTTTCGTACACTTTCTCTTGGGCTCTGCTAAAGCCAGCTTTCCTATAGCTTTGTGCTGGGTCCTAATCTACAGCTGGGTTCCATGGCAGTCTGCCTTCTCCGTGGCTGCCTTTCGCCAAAGACAGCGTCCAGGCACTCTGGCACTCCTCCGACTGCCAAACAAGTTGTTTCTTAGACGAAATATCCCCAGACCTCAACCTTCGCTAGCCGCCAGTGCAGTCTGCCCGTGCTCCTGCACCACTCCCATGGCCATGGCAATGACGGCAGGGCCACTGCACAGCGGCCCAGAGCTGCCCACGTCCCTTTGATTCCTAGGAGGCTTGTGGTCCTCTCAGAGCCCTGGGTGTCCTCCTGTGGGACTGTTGCTGCCACTGTTTCATGTGAACAGGGGTCAGATGACTCTAGCCCGAGTCAGTGGCAGTTTAATCGGGACAGAGGCGACAAAAGGGGCACATCCTATGAGCAGGATAGAAACAATCCGGCCATGATCCTGTTCCAATAGCCTGTTGTGGGCACCACCATGCCGGATCTGTTCTCTCTCCTGTTCTCTCTCTCTCTCTCTCTCTCTCTCTCTCTCTCTCTCTCTCTGTTATTACCACTGGGGTTGGACAATCTGAT